TGCGGCGGGGCACCTGGGCAGTGTAAGCAGCCGTGAGCCAGGCCTGCCTACCTCGTCTCTGCTTCACTGGTTGCGTCTGTGGCCGTCTCCGCGTGCACATCGCGTGTGTGGGTGTCTCCGTGTGCACATCGCGTGTGTGGGTGTCTCCGTGTGCACATCCCATGTGTGGCTGTCTCCGTGTGCACATCGTGTGTGTGGCTGTCTCTGTGTGCACATCACATGTGTGGCCATCTCCGCGTGCACATCACATGTGTGGCTGTCTCCGTGTGCACATCACGTGTGTGGGTGTCTGCGCAGCCAGGCCATGGGGGGGCCTGTGCCTACTGTGCCCACGACACCCACATGAGCCGTCATGTCCCAGCCAGCTGCTCTGTCGGGGGTGGCCCCCTGTCCGGGGCGTCCTGCACTATCTGTGCGTGCCCGGGCACCCCCATAGCCCCTTCCTCACTGTGATCCTCCCAGGCACACACGGATTCCCTGAACACGCTCGTGGCACTGCACCAGCTGTACCAGTACACACAGAAGTACTATGACGAGGTAGGGTCCCGGTCCTGGGGCGGGAGTGCCGGGCAGCCCCTCCCTGGCCTGCAGTCTGACGGGACCCCCCCTCAGATCATCAATGCCTTGGAGGAAGACCCCGCTGCCCAGAAGATGCAGCTGGCTTTCCGCCTGCAGCAGATTGCGGCTGCGCTTGAGAATAAGGTCACCGACCTCTGAACTCTGACCTCCAATGCTGCCTCGGGCACAGGTGCGTGATGCCCACGCTGGAATGGGGCAGCCCCTCGGGGCGAGGCCGCGTGGTCTGTGGCTGAGCACCCCTCTGTCCCCAGCAGGATGTGCCCCAGCATCTGGAGTGGGTGCAGCCGGGGCCCTACCCCGAGCTGTAGCCGGTAGCATCTCTCCTGAGCAATACTGCCCGGGCGCCCACACCAGCACCAGCTCCTCCCGCGGAACCAGCAGCGGCGTTGTGTCCAGTCCTCTGAGTGATTTGCAAACGTGCCTTATGATGCCACACTGGGGCAGTCGGGCCTCAGCTCCCCCCACGCACCAGCAGCCACCTCAGATACCCTGGGCTTGGCCTCTGGGTGGGGTCCGAGTGCCTGTAGCCCCCGGGGCGAGTTCCCAGACCTTGTGTCCGTCTGTCCACCAGGATGGAAAGAGGAGAAAAAGCGGTACGATGCCTTCCTGACCTCACCCAGCCTCCCCAGGGGGTGCCAGCACTCTGGGTGGACTCAAGGGCCACGGGGCCCCACCTCAAAGGTGGACGTCAGACGTCGGGGCCCAGGTGGCCAGAGGGGGCCCAGCAAAATGGGGGTCCTGGAGGCCCTGCCCTGGTCTGGGGGGGCTGGGGGCAGCTCCACCAGGACAACCCCACCCTTTTTGTAAATTTTGTTCATTGTAAATCAAATACAGCTCTCTTTTTCACTCTGCTGGTTGACTGGGTTCCTCTGGGGCCACCCATCTGTCCCGACTCTCCCACCCCTTGGAGAGGCACAAGGTGGTGCCCTGCTGGGCCCCACCAGGCACTGGGCTGGACTGCCTGTGAGCCCCTGTCCTGACCTTGTGTTCTTAGGAGGAGGAGTAAGAGCACCACACGGCATGGCTTTAGTAGCTGTGGGAGAGAGGGCCTGAGTCCCACTGATCGTGGCCGTGGCAAGAGCTCAGCTGCTTCTCAATCCCGTGAGCCACCCTCAGCCAGGGTGACTCAGGACCTAAGCAGGACTCCAGGTCCACGTGCCTGAGAGGAAGCGGCACCTTTGCTGATGGGGGAGTGGGCTGTCCTGGAAGCTGGCAATGGGGGAAGGGGGCTGTTCCCAAATCCCATGAAAGGGCTCAGGGCAGGTGGAATTGAGATGTGCCCCACAGGGCGCTAGCACGCGGGACCTCGTTCACCCAACACGTCCTTCCTGAGCGCCCGCCGTGCACCAGGCACTGTCCCAGCACCAGGATTACAGCATCAGACAGGACAGATGGGGCTCTCTCGGGCTTCCCTTGTGTGCCACGAATCCCAGCCCAAGCAGAAAGGGGGTTTGGCAGCCCATGAGGAGGAGGTGAACGTCTAGCTTCGGATGTGGCTGGATCCAAATGCTCAGGTCTTGGGTTCCATCTGTCTGAACTGCTTCCCAACCTGTGCTGGCTCATCCTCAGGCGGCCCTAGTCCCTGTCTCCTGCTCTGGGCACATGGTGGCGGGTCGTCTCTTTCTCGATGGGCAAGGCTGATCCGGGGCCCCAGGATTGGGGCAGCCCCATCCAAGCCACAGGGAAAAGGGGTGGCTGTTTCTCCCCCAAGAAGGGGGTCCAAGGCAAACAGCTGACATCCCCTGCTCCAGGCTCCCTGAAATGGCACTCCTGCTATGGCCCAACACTGGGAGCCCCTTCCCAGAGACCTGGCTGGTCAGGAAATCTGAACAAGGTTCTGTGACGCCAGAGAGCCGTGGTGGGGCACAGTCCTGGTGTGCTGAGCGGGGTCTCAGGAGGGGGCAGGGAACCCGGAGGCCTGGCTTCCAGACTGGATCCCTGCAGACTCCCTCTGCCCCTTCCCCACCCGGCAGCCAGGAGAGAAGGGAAGGGTCAGTGAGCCCCCACCCACTGTGAAGTCTGGGGACAGGGTGAGGCTACAGGTCCGACAGTCCAGTGCCCAGGCAGGGGTCCAGTGAGGGGTAGAAATTGGGCATAGATGGTGGGGTACAGACTAGTGGCAGACAAGGGGTGGCCCACCCTGTTGTTTACGTCCCATCCTCCTCCCCTGTAGTGGGAGGAGGCAGAGCCGGCATGAGAAGGGCGTGCACAGCCGAACAACCTCTCCAAGCAGAGAACAGCCGAAGGCCACGTCCTGCCTGCACCACCATCGCCTGGTCCCTGGTGAACAAGGCTGGATCTCTTTTAGGAAGTTCTTCCTGAGCACCACGATGGGCACAGCCAGGGGGCTGAGAGGGAGCACAGACGACCAGTGGGGGAGTAGACATGGAGAGAAGGGTGGGTGTTGACATTTAGGGGTGACAGTGGGTCACAGCCCAGGGTGGAAGGAAGCTCTTCCGCAGCAGCCCTGCCCCCCAACACACACCGCCGCCTGCCCCAGCCACCCACTCTCCAGGCCCCGCCTCTGCCACCACCACCTCCCTTCAGTCCTGGACTCAGCCCAGCCCTCCGCTGCCTCCTTGCAGGGCACTGCCCGCCACCTGACACGCCAGCGGTCGGGCCCCTGCAGTACTAGGACCACGCCGTCCCGGCAGGCACGGGGGAGGGGACCTCCGCGAGGGGCCGCAGGCACATGGGGACTCCCAGTGCAGGTCTACTGAGGCCGCCGGGCCCCGGTCGGCGCCCACCACTCACCTGGCGGGGACTCCCGGCGGGTCAGCAGACCCCACCGCTCATCTCCCCGCACCCCCGGGGAGAGGGACCCGAGCCGCCCCGCCTCGGGGCGGTGGGGGCGGGGCCGGTCGCCATGGGAACGGGCTCGGCCCCGCCCGGCGCGGCGCGGTGCGGACAAAGGCCGCCCCTCCCCAGAGGCCGCGGCTGCGGTTCCCACCGGCCGGGCTCGCTGCGGTCCGGCCGCTGAAGGTCCGCGAGCTCCGCGCCTGGCCTCGGCCACTAAAAGGCGCCCCGGGGCGGGGGCGCTGGAGGCGCTGGGGGCGGAGGGGGTGGGGACTCCCCTGCCAGGCCCCTGGTCGGACAGCAGCTCGCAGAGGGGAAACTGAGGCCCGGGGTGGCTCGGGATTTGGCCGAGGTCGAGCGAGAGGGGCCGGCGCGGTTGGGACTCGGACCTGCGTCCTCGGCCGTCGTCGGCGCCACGGTCCGGATTCGCCCATCTGTCTGGACGTGTTTCAATTCGGTTGCCAATATTTAAAAACGAAGAGATTTAACACTGAAACTCGGAGTTTGATGTTAAGAAAAGTTTTCCAGGCAACTCGGAGCCTGATTTCGCACTTTCCCTGCGGGGGGAGGCGGCCCCACCACGGATCCCCCTTCCCCACACTGCGCCGCCCCCGGGTGGAGGTCGGGGCCTTTCTCCGCCGGGCCCCGGTCGCCGTCGAGTGGCAACCGAAGCAAATGTGCGCCCGGCAGGCTGGACAGGGCGCTCTCCCCTGGTCGCCGTGAAAGCAGCCATGAGAGCCAAGCCCTCCAGGCCGGGAGGAAACGCGGCTGACCCTGCAAACCAGCGGCTCCTGGCACCTGGGAAAGCCAGGCTGGGCTGCCTGGAAGAGGGGACAGCCGAGGAGGAGGAAGAAAGGTGCCGGGCACCAAAGAGGACCCATCTGGGGCTGATTCTCGTGGGCGCAACACCCCAAAGGCCCCTGGCGACGCCGCTGTCCCTGGTCCTGACAGGCCCGGCCCAGCGGTCACACCACTCCCCGGCGCGGCGCCGCCGACGTCAGACCCGGGAGGGCTCGGAGGAGGCCACGCGACCGCCAAGGCCGGAACGTCCTCCGCGGGGGGAACGCCAGGCTGGCCCGGGCTCCGGGCACCGTCATCTGCCCGGCACGGAGGAGCCCTATCCAACGCCTTCTGGCTAATTTTTAACCAAGTGCCCAGTTTTTACTAGGCGGTATTTTCCGCCTTGATGGAAAAACACTCCCCATGGTTCGCCCCTGGCTGCTTCGCCGTTGACGGTTCTCCCTCCCTCCTGGGGGGTCGCTGGGGTAGGGGGCGCAGGGCCCGAGCGGGCGGCGCCGGGCGGGGACCGGACGCGGGCGCAGAATGGGGAAGTGCGCGGCCCCAGGAGGTGAAAGCGCGAGGGAGGATGTCAGATCCCCGCCGCCCGCCGCCGCCCCCCGCCCCGGCTGGTTTCCGCTTTGCCGCCGCCTCGGAGGGGCAGGAAGCCACGCGTTTGTCTCGGGGAGCCCCCCCCGCCCGGGGAAATCCGCCCCGGCCCGGCCCCGCCCCGGAGCCCCGCCCCGCCCCGCCGCCCCTGCAGCCGCGCTCGCTCCGCTCGGCTCCGGCTCCGGCTCCGGCGCGGGGCGCGGGGCGCGGGGCTGGGCCGAGCGGCGGCCGCTCCGGACATGTCGGGCCCCCGCGCCGGCTTCTACCGGCAGGAGCTGAACAAGACGGTGTGGGAGGTGCCGCAGCGGCTGCAGGGCCTGCGTCCGGTGGGCTCCGGCGCCTACGGCTCGGTCTGGTAGGGGCGGGGCAGAGGTGGGCGCCGGGGAGGGGGGCTGGGACGGGCTCCGGCGTGCGCCCCCTCCCCGCCCGGCGCGGGGTTCCCGGCACGGGGAGGGGCCTCGCCCTGCCTCCGCCCCACGCCCTGCGCGGATCAGGGGAATGAACGGGGGCGGGGGGAGGGGGCGTGAAGGAAACTTTGCTCCAAGACGCTGCTCCTGGTGGCAATGGGGGGGTCCTCCGGCCCCGCCCGATTCGGAGGGTCCCCCACCCGGCTCGAATACTGGGGCGTCACAGCTGGCGGGAGGCTGGGTCCCCCGGGCTCCTAAATGTCTGACTGGGTCAAGGGCTGGGCAGCCCCCTGGGGCTAGCAGGGGGCCCCGCCCGGGTGGGTGCTATTGTTTGAAAAGGGAAAGCCCAGCTAGGGGGAGATAGAGACCTCGCCCCTTAGGATGGCCTCGGACTCCCCCGTGGGTCCTGCCCACCCCCACCACTCCGTGTTTTCTGGAGTCTCAGACTCCAGATGGGATTTAGGCCTGAACGGAGATGCCTCCATTTCCCTGCAATCCCTGGGGCGTCTACACCCCACCCACTTTTGCCCCAACCTATGGCGCTCAGACCACAGCCTCCCAACCCAGCTAGGCCTTGGGGTCCCCAGAACTGGCCTGGGGCCCAGACAGACCATGGAGTCTGGATGGGGGGGGTCCAGATTAGGTTGAGGCTTGCGTTAACCTGGAACCGCTTCTGCAGGGGGCTAAGGAGGAGGTGGTTACGTGGAGCCCTAAGTTGCAGCTTTGATGTTGACAGTGGGGCTGATCCCGGGTGTGGACACGGAGAGGTGCTACCTCCCCCAGCACCCAACTGGGTCCTCACTGAGGCCAGTGCCAGAGAGCTGCTGGGTCGTTGTGGAGGTGTGAAGGCAGAGGTGGTGCGGCAGAGTGCTGCTCCAGGACATTGCAGATTAGGAGGGGACTTCTCAGGCCTCCTCCAGAAGCGGAGCTCGGAGCCTGCAGCAGGGGCTGGGGTCCCAGGGCAGACTCTGTCTTGCGCTATCCTTTGCCTGCTATCAGAAGCCTCACGCAGGCCATTTACCCGTTCCAGCACAGGCCTGTCTTATCTGTAAGGCCTCAAGGGTGGGAAGAGGGGTGGGAAAAGTGGGAGTGGCCACAGGGGCCCGGCTGGACTCACCGCTGGGACTCCACATCTGGGAGTTCCTGAGGGGTGTCAAGTTCCCGGGTGAAGCCCAGTCTCTCTCTGCTGACCCCTGGCTCCCTTTGCTCAGTTCCACTGCTGAGGCTGCTGATAGGGTCAATTCCCTGTCACCGGACTGCACAATCAGTCAAAAGGCTCTGCTGCCCCACAGGAGGGGCCACTCCCCTCACCTCCCAGCCCAGGAGTGATGTGAACCTTCCCCCGCAAGGCACAGGCTTGGGGGGCACAGATTACCAAGCACCTAGTTTCCTCTCCTGCACCTCCACCACACCCATGAGCGCGCCAGACCCAGCAGGGCCGTCGCTCTCCCCCTAGTGTGGGCATGGGGGTGGTCTAAGTCTCCACTCACACTTAGGAGGGCCTAGATGTCCAGAGATGGGGCAGAAGCAGGAGAGAGGAGATGAGCCTTCAGCAGGGCTCCAGAAGTGGCTTCATATCTACGTGCTGATCCTGAGGGCAGTGGGACCTGGGGAGGGTGGGCGTGATCCTGTCCCACCTGCATCTGAGGATGACAGTGGTGACTGCTGCCTCTCCAGCGAAAAGTAGGTGGGTGAGGAGGCTGGTGTGGAGGTGAAGGGTCTGGACCTCTGGAAGCAGAGCCGGGAAGGCGGGATAGAACCCGGGAGGATGGGATAGAACCCCCAGAGGCCACTCTCAGCTGAACATTTCTACTGTCCAGTTTTTCAGTTGCAAATAATGGTGCAATAAACACCGCTCACCAATATTCTCTCCACATTTTGAATATTGGGAGGCACTGGGGAGAACTCGCCAGCGGCTGTTTCCCTGACGTGCTATTTGCACGCTGGCTGGAGGGGCCTCTCTCCGGCTTTGAATGGGGGTCCTGGGTTGGGGGCGAGGGACAAGAGACGACCGAGGACCTTGCGCGGCGAGCACTGGCATGGCGGGCCAGCCCCTTGGGGCTCCTTCCCAGCGGACGCGCGGAGGGCTGGTCGGAGGGGCGCGGGCCGGGGCCCATCGAGAGCCTGCGCGCGGGCGGCCGCCCTCGGACCCCTCCGGCCGCCGCGCCCGGCCCGGCCTCCGTCGCCGCCTCACTGGCCGCCCGCCTTCCAGTTCGGCCTACGACACGCGGCTGCGCCAGAAGGTGGCGGTGAAGAAGCTGTCGCGCCCCTTCCAGTCGCTGATCCACGCGCGGAGGACGTACCGCGAGCTGCGGTTGCTCAAGCACCTGAAGCACGAGAACGTGAGCGGGGGCGGGCCCGCGGAGGGCGGACCAATGGGGCGGTGCGGTCTGGGGGCGGGCCCGCAGAGGGCGGACCAATGGGGGGGCGCGACCCTGAGGGCGGACCCACGGGGGGCGGACCAATGGGGCGGTGCGGCCCTGGGGGCGGGCTCGGGAGGGGGCGGACCAATGGGGCGGTGCGGCCCTGGGGGCGGGCCTGAGGAGGGCGGGGCCTGGAGCCGGTGGGGCGGGGCCCGGGCGCTGAACCGCGGGGCAGGGGTTCGCCGCCCGGTCCTAACTCCGCTCGCTACCCAGGTCATCGGGCTTCTGGATGTCTTCACCCCGGCCACGTCCATCGAGGACTTCAGCGAAGTGTGAGCGGCCGGGCGGGCGAGGAAGCGGCCCGGGAGCGCGTTCGGGGAGGGGGCGGCGGGCTGGGTCCTGACCCCAGACCCGCCCCAGGTACTTGGTGACCACCCTGATGGGCGCCGACCTGAACAACATTGTCAAGTGCCAGGCGCTGAGCGACGAACACGTCAAGTTCCTGGTTTACCAGCTGCTGCGCGGGCTCAAGGTGGGCGCGCCGGCTTCCCGGGCCCGCGGGGGTGGCGGCGCGGGGCGGGGGCGGAAACCTGGCGCTCAGCGATCTCCCCCCTGCAGTACATCCACTCGGCCGGGATCATCCACCGGGTAGGTGCCGCCGCGGGTGAGGGTCGGTCCGAGGGCTGGCGCGGCTGCGCCTCCTGCGCTCACGCCCCCGCGCGCCCGTGCAGGACCTGAAGCCCAGCAACGTGGCTGTGAATGAGGACTGCGAGCTCAGGGTGAGGGGCTCGAGGGGCCTGGGGTGGCAGGGGCATGGGGCAGCGTCTATGGGGGGACGCTGAGAACCCCTCCGGGTCGCTCTAGATCCTGGACTTCGGGCTGGCGCGCCAGGCTGATGAGGAGATGACCGGATACGTGGCAACGCGCTGGTACCGGGCACCTGAGATCATGCTGAACTGGATGCACTACAACCAGACAGGTGTCAGGGTGGGCGGGCAGGCGGAGTTCGCACGTAGGCCTGGGGAGGGTGGAGCCAAAGGCCGAGGACCCTGGGAGGGGCATGCCCAGTCTTGGTGACTGGCCTTCAGAGGGGCATGGTGGGTATCCTCTGGCCTCTGTGGCCCGAGCTAACTCCTGCCCCTGCCCAGAGTTGGGCATAGAAGAGGATGGAGTCTGCCAGTCTTCGGGCCTGGCTGTGACTTAGGGTCTACTGTGCTGGCTCCTCCCAGCTCCCAGGGGAGGGGTTTGGGGCGGGCAGACTGACGGAGGTCCCTCCCCTCCCCTCCCCCAACAGTGGACATCTGGTCTGTGGGCTGCATCATGGCTGAGCTGCTCCAGGGAAAGGCCCTCTTCCCGGGAAATGACTGTATCCTTGGCCCAGGTGGGGGAGCAGGGTCAAACCGGGGTCCCCTCCTGTAGGGAGGGGGCTGGCTATGGCCCTTTCTGGCAGGTCTCGCTTCCTTTTGCCTCCCCATATTATGCCACCCTGGGCTTCCTGTCCTCAGCTGTAGGCTCTGGGCAGTGCCCCAAGATCTTGTGTCTGGGGGCCGGGAAAAGTCCATGGCTGGCCAGTGGGAGTTTCCTGAGCGAGGTAGACATTGACCAGCTGAAGCGCATCATGGAAGTGGTGGGCACACCCAGTCCAGAGGTTCTGGCAAAGATATCTTCAGAACATGTAAGTCAGTGCCCAACCAGCCACTAGCTCCCTCTGCTGATCAAGCCCCCAGATGCTCTGGGGGAGAGGGTGGCCTGAAAATATGGGCACCAGATGGGAACATGGGGCATGGTGGGGTAGAACCCAGGGTAGGCATGCAACCCCTTTGGCGAAACAGGTGGATGGGGAAGACATTCCTGGCACAAGGGACAGTGAGGGACAAACGGTGCCCTGGCTGTGGGCAGTGGAGGGGCAGGAAAAGCTCTGGACCCTGCTCCTGCAGGCCCTATAGGGAGGAGGTCTGGTCTGCCTGTGCCCTTGCCCAGGCCTGTTGGAGTGAATGAGTCTAGGGGCTTCTCTCGGAAAGCCCTGTGCCCAGTTTGGGGCCAGGGAGGGAGGAGGTGAACAGCCCCCAGGTCCTTCTTATGTGCCCCCAGGCCCGGACATACATCCAGTCCCTGCCCCCCATGCCCCAGAAGGACCTCAGCAGCATCTTCCATGGAGCCAACCCTCTGGGTGAGGACTGGCCCTGGGGCTGGACTGGGCTCCTCATCAGACCTTGGATGCAGAGCTGACCCCCCACTGGCCCCCTTGCAGCCATAGACCTCCTTGGAAGGATGCTGGTGCTGGACAGTGACCAGAGGGTCAGTGCGGCGGAAGCGCTGGCCCATGCCTATTTCAGCCAGTACCATGACCCTGAGGATGAGCCAGAGGCAGAGCCCTATGATGAGAGCGTCGAGGCCAAAGACCGCACGGTGGAGGAGTGGAAGGGTGGGCATGGGGGTGCCCAGGGGCCTGGTGTGGGCATGGGGTATGGGGCGGGGCCTGGGACTGCATCTGCACCCCTGGAGGCAATGCCCCAGATCCCGCCCAGAGTGTCCTGGGAGGAGGAACAACATACCCCCTACTCCAGAGTCGGGCAGGCAGAGGTGGGGGCATCTAGCAGAGGGCAGGCTCTGGCTTCCAGCCTCGGGCTGAAGCTGCACTCAGAGGGTGGGGGCTGGGCTGGGCAGCGCAAGCTGACCTTTCCCCTCACTCCTAGAGCTCACCTACCAGGAAGTCCTCAGCTTCAAGCCCCCAGAGCCTCCAAAACCGCCGGGCAGCCTGGAGATTGAGCAGTGAGGCGCTGCCCAGCAGCCACCCTTGAACCTGTGGAGGGGCCAGAGCCTGCACCCTCCCTCAGTGGGTCAGGTTTCCTCTACACCCCTATGGCCAGGCAGCCCTGACCCCTGGTCTGGGACCCCATGCCTTGAGGAGAGTCTACACACATGTGACTGCACAAACCTTTGTGCACGTGTGCTTGCCATGTGTAGGACTCTGGGCACAGGTGTCCCTGGGTCTACTTTGGTCCTCCTACCCGCTCCTGGCCACAGGGCTCTCCCTTGGGACCTCCCTGTGGGGGGCCTGGATGCCACAGGGATCCCCCTGGGGAGTGTGTCTGTCTCTGGACCTCCTCTGGCTCAGAGAGCTATGGGGGGTGCACTGGGGCCAGGGGCTCAGTGGGTAGAGCTGCTCAGCCTGGAAGTGGGGGCTGCCCTGGTGGTTGCTGAGACCCACAGACCCAAGAGCTGAGGCAGGGCTAGTGCACCACCAGGCTCAGCAGGGTCTTCCCTGTGGGGGTAGCAGGGCAGGACAACCACCAGGTGTCAAATGAGAAAGGCTGCCTGGAGCCTTGTGCCACCTGTGGGGTCTGTGGGCACACGGACATGAACATGTGGTCCCAGCGTTCACATGTCAGGACGTGTGCTAGGCAGGGGAATCTGCGGGCACGCAAGGGCCAGGAGCCATGTCGGGCAGGGGCCTGAGTTTGGGTGGGTGTGCTACTGCCTCGCCTCCCCTTAGTTCGTGATGCCACAGGGGGTGGTGAGATCCAGGCTAGGGGCTCCAGTGGGCCAAGGGGGCAGCCACTTGGGGGCTTTCTCCTGGGAGCTCCAGCTGGTCCGAGGCATGAGGCACACTCCAGTTGTTGGGGCCGGGGCTGGGGGTGCAGCCTCGAGAACACTAAGGCAGGCAGCACGCACGGATGTGGACTTGGACACTTTTGCCGGACCTCAGCCCGGAGCTGACCACCTCCACCGCTCTCTACCTCTGCCCTCGTGGTGGCTGCAGCTGGAGGTCCGAGGTGCTCTGGTCTGCGGGTCAGCTCCCAGAGTGGGGCGAATGGACTAACCTTTGGGACAGGACTGCCCAGACACGTCGGGTGTGGCTTCTCCCTGGAGAGGTGGTAGCCTCTTGCCTGGAGGGGTCCAGGGAGGTCTGGGGCCAAGTGCCTGCACCAGGGGTGCACAATAAAGAGGATCCCTCCTGTTCAGCTTGCGTCCCAGGCTCCAGGCCCTGCTGTCCCTGCTGTCCCGCATATCTCCAGCTGGCCTGGCTCCCCCAGAGGCCTGCAGTGGCCAGATCCCTCGGGCCCCCAGGTGGACAAACAGCCACCTCTGGCACCCTCCTTGCTCCCTGGAGGGTCTGAGAGCCCAGGGAGACCAGGGGAGGATGTGGCGGGTGGGCAGGTCCTGAGGGAACAGAGTGGATGGCCACCCACACAGTGAACCCGGCTGCCCTTCAAGGGACTCACAGGGCAGCCTTGACTCCTGGCCCAGACCCAGTCTCTCCCCTTCTTTCAGTGGTCAGGGAGGCTGGCTGGGGGGCAGTTGGGTGTCCCTGGGAGCAAAGGCCTTCCCTTCCCCGTGGTTGGGTGGGGTAGGAGAAATAGCTTTCTCTTCCTTCCTGGTTAAGGTGAAGGAGGTCACCTCAACCCAAGGGGTTCACCTGCCGAACCTACTCCTGCTGCCCACTGCAGCTCACATGGGGGAGAGGGCCCAGGCCATGGTGGAGGCCAGGCAGCATGCCCTTAGGGGTCAGGAACAGTCTATGCCTTTGCCCTGGGTCTTGGGGCAGGGGTGGAAACCATCTGGGAGCAGGACCTCCAGGGGCTTGGTCAGTGTGGTAGCCAGTCCTGGGGGGAACCCTGGAGACCAGGCTGGGCCAAGTCCAGCATTTGGGGGTGGAGGATAGGAGCATAACTGGGGACACAGCCCCATTTTGGGAACCTGGTCTGACATGGGACCCTGCTAGACCCCTGAAGATAAGGGGGGCAGCTGGAGGGCTTCCTGGAGGAGGTGGGTAGAGTGCCACAGGCAGCCCAGGGCAGGAAGGGCACGGGATACAAGCAATTGTGGTTTGGGTGGCCCCAAGCTACCCCTGCTCGCTGGTCCCCAGCTCCTGAATGCTCCAGATCACCACTGAAGCCCAGGTGCAAAGCTGCTCTGGCTGAGCTTGAGCCCCTGAGCTGCTGATTCATGGCGGGCAGGCGGGGCACAGAGGGCGAGCCAGGGGGCCCAGGGATCCTGTTACCCACCAGCCTTGTGGGCTCTGGGACAGACCCCATATTCCCTTCTCAGGCCTGTGTCCCTGGGCTGGGAGAAGGTGCGGGCTCTTCCGTCCAGAAGTATCTGCCCAGGGTGGTGCGTGCCCACCCACCCAGAGTTATCAGGCTGAGGGCCCAAGCAGGTCCCCCCTTCAGCCCTGGAGGCAGGCACACCTTGCTGGAGACTGGGTTTTTTTTTTGTTTTTTTTTTTTGAGACAGGGTCTTGCTCTGTACCCTGGCTAGGGTGCAGTGGGGTCATCACAGCTCACTGCAGCCTCCAACTCCTGGGCTCGGGCGATCCTCCTGCCTCAGCCTCCGGAGTGGCTGGGACTACAGGCGTGCACCACCGTGCTCCCAAGTTTGGGAGACAGAACTAGCCCCCCTCTCTGGAAAGAGAGATGCAGGCAAGACAGGTGCTGGAGGACTGGGCATTTGGTAGGGCATCTCTAGGGGTGAGGAGGGCAGTGGACATTGGGAACACAGGGTCAGCCCAGGGGCCTCAGGGATGGGGGACTGGGTGGGGATGGAGTGGGAGGTGGTGTTCCCGCAGGTGGACAATGCCCAGGGCTGCGGATGGGCCCAGCGCCCTAGGGTGGTGGTTAGTAAGGAGCAGCCCCGGCTAAGACCTCCCACCCCCATCCGCCCGTCGGGGAAGTTCAGCCAGAGGGCAGAGAGCTTGGGGTGGCGCTCTCCTCCCCCTCCCCTTCCCCCCATCCTCTGGCCCTACCTCTCCGCCCGCGCGGCCGCCTCGGGTTTCCGGAGGGGCCAGAGGGCGGGCGGGGGCATCACGTGCGCGCGGCCAGGGGGCCGGTTGGTCCGTGAGCCGGGGAGGGGCCGTGCGCTGCCCGGACCCGGCCGGGGTCTGGCCGGGGTGGGCGCCTTGGAGAGCCGGGAGGGCGGCGACCCGGAGAGAAGAGCCGGGCGCAGAAGCGCCCCGGCGGCGGGCGATCGGGCGGGGACGGGACGCGCGCCGAGGGACCCCCGCTGATCCCGGGTCCTGGTCCTCGGGGCGCGGTGCCTGCAGCGTCCGCGGCGGGGGCGGCGCCCGGGGCCCGCCATGAGCTCTCCGCCGCCCGCCCGCAGTGGCTTTTACCGCCAGGAGGTGACCAAGACCGCCTGGGAGGTGCGCGCCGTGTACCAGGACCTGCAGCCCGTGGGCTCGGGCGCGTACGGCGCGGTGTGGTGAGCGCGGGCCGGCGGCGGGGCGGGCGGGGCGTGCGGGTCGGGGCCCCGGCCTTCCCGCTAAGCTCCCGCCCCGCAGCTCGGCCGTGGACAGCCGCACGGGCGCCAAGGTGGCCATCAAGAAGCTGTACCGGCCCTTCCAGTCAGAGCTGTTTGCCAAGCGCGCCTACCGCGAGCTGCGCCTCCTCAAACACATGCGCCACGAGAACGTGAGTCGCCTGCAGCTGGGGGACTCCCGCCGAGGCTGGCTCCTGTCCCCTCCCCGAGAAGGCCGGCCCCCTGCC